AAAATTAACGAAATTAGCAAGCACTTAGCTAGATTAGAAAAAAATAAGAGAAGACTCTAATAACTAAAATCAGAAATGAAGAAGAGACATTATATCAGATGCTACAAAATTAAAAGGATTATAAGAGACTACTAAGAATGCCAACAAACTGAATAACCTAGAAGAAATGCATAAATTCCCAGAAACATACAACCTACTAAGACTGAATCATGAAGAAACAAAAAATCTGAACACAGCTATAATTAGTAAGGTGATTGAATCAGCAATCAGAAATCTCCCAACAAACAAAAGACCAGGAGCAGACAGTTTCTTTGGAGAATTCCACTGAACATTTAAAGAATTAATGCCAATTCTTCTCAAAATCTTCCAAAAATTGAAGAGGAGGGAACACTTTCAAACTCATTTTATGAGGCCAGCATTACCCTGAGACCAAAGACAGACAAAAATTACACAAAAACTATAGGCCAAAATCTCTGATGAATATTGATGTAAAAATCTTTAACAAAATACTAGTAAACTGAATTCAACAGCACATAAAGAAATTCATAAACCATGACCTGATGATACACCAGGGATTTAGCTCTGCAATGCATGGATGATTCAACATATAAAAATCAGTAAATATAATACAACACATTATACTTTTATTTTTATTTTATTTTATTTTATTTTTAAGACAAGGTCTCACTCTGTTGCCCTGGGTAGAGTACAGTGGTGTCATCAAAGCTCACTGAAACCTCAAACTCCTGTGCTCAAGTGATTCGCCTGCCTTAGCCTCCTAAATAGCAAGAACTACAGCTATACACCACCACACCCAGCTAATTTTTTCTATTTTTTGTAGAAACAGGGTCTCACTCTTGCTCAGGCTGGTCTCCAACTCCTGACCTCAAGCAATCCTCCTGCCTCAGCCTCCAAGAGTACTAGGATTACAGGCATGAGCCACTACACCCAGCCTAATACAACACATTAACAAAATGAAGAACAAAAATCACATGGTCACATCAATTGATGCAGAAAAAGCATTTAACAAAATTCAATATTCTTTTATGACAAAAACACCCAATAAAATAGTAATAGAAAGAAATTACCTCAACATAATAAAAGTAATATATGAGAAGCCCATAGCCATCATCATACTCCATAGTGAATAACTAAAAGCTTTTCCTTTAAGATCAGGAAGAAGACCAGAATGCCCATTCTCAACACTTCATTCAGCATAGTGCTGAAGTCCTAGTGAACAAAAAGATATAAAAGACATCCACAAATTGGGGGAAAAAAGTAAAATTATCTATGTTCACAGATGACATGATCTTGTATGTATAAAACCCTAAAGACTATACATATATACTCATAAACTATTAGATCTAATAAATGAATTCAGCAAAGTTGCAGGACACAAAAACAATACTGATCAGTTGTGTTTCTTTAACAATAAACAATGAAATTAAGAAAAGTATCCCATTTATAGCAGCATCAAAAAGAATAAAATGCTTATTTAAGACTTTTACACTGAAGACTATAAAACACTGCTGAAAGAATTTAGAGAAGACACAATTAAATGGAAAACACCCCTTGTTCATGGATTGGATGACCTAAAATGGCTAAAATGTCTATAACTACCCAAAGCAATTTACATATTCCATGCAATCCCTATCAAAATCCCAATGACATTTTTTGCAGAAATAGAAAATGAAATCCTAAAATTCAGATGGAATCTGACAGAAAATCATATGGAAACGACTCCAACTAACCAAAATAACCTTGAAAAAGAAGTACAAAGCTGAATGCCTCAAATTTAGTGACTTCAAAATATATTACAAAGCTACAGTAATCAAACCAGTATGTTACTAGCATAAAGTCAGCCATATATACCAATGGAACAGGATGGAGGGCCCAGAAATAAATCCTCCAGTATTTATTTGGTCAAATTTATATGGTCAAATTTATATGGTCATATTTATATGGTCAAATTATCTTGGAAAAGGTGCTAAGACTGTAAGATGGGTAGAAGCTACTTTCTTGAATAAATGGTGAGAAAACTGGATATCTATATCCAAAAGATGGACCCTGATCTTACACCACATACAAAAACTAACTCAAAGGCCAGGTGCACTGGCTCATGCCTATAATCCTGGCACTCTGGGAGGCTGAGGCAGGAGGACTGCTTGAGGTCAGGAGTTCGAGACCAGCCTGAGTAAGAGCGAGACCCCGTCTCTACCAAAAATAGAAAAAGTTAGCTGGGCATAGTGATGTACACCTGTAATCCCAGCTATTTGTGAGGCTAAGGCAGGAGGATCACTGAAGCCCAAGAGTTTGAGGTTACAGTGAGCTATGATGATGCCACTGCACTCTTGCCAGGGCAACAGAGCAAGACACTTTCTCAAAAACAAAAAAAAATCCTCAGAATAAAGACCTGAACACCTGAACGTAAGACCTGAAACCATAAAACTCCTAGAAAAAAAAGGAGGAGAAAAAAGCCTCCTGATACTGGAATGGGCAATGTCGTGTCTTAGATATGGCACCAAAAGCACAGATAACAAAAGCAAAAACAGACATCTTAAACTACATCAACTCTTCTGTGCAGCAAAAGGAATAATCAACAAATTATAAAAAGCAACCTACCGAATGGGAGAGATTATTTGCAATGCATACACGAGATAAGTGGTTAATATCCAGAACATACAAAGCAGTTCTACAACTCAATAAAAAACAAACAGGCCAGCATGGTGGCTCACACCTGTAATCCTAGCACTTTGGGAGGCCAAGGTGGAAGGATTGCTTGAAGTCAGGAGTTCAAGACCAGCTTGAGCAAGAGTGAGACTCTGTCTCTACAAGAAATAGAAAAATTAGCTGGGGATGGTGGTAGGTACCTATAGTCCCAGCTACTCAGGAGACTGAGACAGGATGATCACTTGAGGCCAGGAGTTTGAAGGTACAATGAACTATGATGATGCTATCATTCTCTAGCCCAGGAAACAGAGCAAGATTCTTTCTCATAAATAAATAAATAAGTAAATAAAAAATAAATAACCCAATTAAAAAATGGACAAAGAACTTGGACAAAGAACTTAGACATTTCTCCAAAGAAGATATAGAAATACCCAACAAACATATGGCCAATAAACATATGAAAAAAAGAGGCTCAATATCACTAAGCATCAGAAAAATGCAAATCAAAAAAACACAATGAGATATCACTCATTAAGATGGCCGCTCTCAAATAAATAAATAAAAAGTGTTGGCAAAGATGTGGAGAAACTAGAACTTTTGCACACTATTAGTGATATTATAAAATGGTCTGGCTGCTATAGAAAACAGTATGGAAAACTGCCTATGGAAAACAGTCCTCAAAATATTAAAAATAGAACTACCATGTGATCTACTTCTAGATTCTACTTCTGGGTGGGATTCAGTTCCAAGAGAATTGAAAGCAGGGTCTTGAAGAGATGTTTGCATACCATGATCATTGAAGCATTACTCACAATAGTCAAGACATGGAATCAACCTAAGTGTTGATCAGTCTATGAATGGATAAAGAAAATATGGGGTGGGGGGTGTGTGTGTGTGTATATATATATATACATACATACACACACACACACACACATACATACATACAAAGGAATATTATGCAGACTTAAAAAATAAAATTTGTCATATGCTGCAACATGGATGAATCTTGAAGATATTATAGTAAGTAAAACAGAAATAAGCTAACCATAAAACAACAAATATTGCATGATTCTACTTATATGAGGTATCTAACATAACCAAACTACTAGAAAAAGGAGTAGAATGGCAGTTGCCATAGGCTGGGGTCCGGGGGGGGGGGGGGGGGGGAATGGGGAATTGTTGTTCAATGTCTAGAGAGTCAAGCCAGATGAAAAAGTTCTAGAGAACTATTGTATTAATACAACAATGTACATATAGTTAACAATACTATAATATACACTTAAAAATTAACAGGGTAAATTTACATGTTTTTACATGTAAATTTACACCATAATTTTACACCATAATTTTTTTACACCATAAAAAAATTAATTTGAGATATATAATAGATATAAACACAAAAGCTTAAACTATAAATGCAAATTAAAAACTATGAGATACCTCTACATACTCACCAGTCTGGCTAAAATGAAAACACTAACCCCACCAAGTATTGGTAAGATTGTAGATAATTGGAACTCTCATACAATATTGGTGGGAATATAAAATGACACAGCTACTTTAGAAAACCATTTGGAAAACTATCTGGCTGTTTCTTGTAAAACTAAACAGATACCTACCCTAGACTGAGAAGTTCTACTACTAGGTTATTTACTTAAGAGAAAAGAATACAGATATTCATGAAAAGAACTGTAAAACAAATGTTTATAGCAGCTTTATTCATGATAGCCAAGCCCAGAAACATCCAAAGCATTCATCAATAGGAAAATAGATAAACTGTGGCACATACACTACTCAGCAACAAAAAGGAAAAGGTATTGATACACAGATGAAAGCATTATGCTAACTGAAAGAAGCCATATGCAAAAGAATACTATTATATAATTACACCTACAGAAAATTTTAGAAAAAATGTGATTTATCTATATAATAGAATACTACTCAACAATAAAAAGAAATGAACTACTGACACACCATGGATGAATCTCATAAGTATCATGCTGATTTTTTTTAAAAGCCTTAAATAAAAAGTTACATATTATATGTTTCCATTCACATGAAAACTGATCTATGGCAGAAGAAAATCAAAACTATGGACACCTCTGAGGGGCTTACAAGCAAGGAATAATTGAGAAGTTTATGACGGAGATTTCTGGGGTAACAGTAATATTCTATATTTTGCATTATCAAAGCTCAGTAAATATATGCTTAGAATTCATTCATTTCATTATATATAAATTTTGTCTCAAAAGAAAAAATTGTCAAAGTTTTTGTTTTGAAAAGAAAAAGAATCTGGAGGCCCGCGCGGAGCGGCCGCCGAGGACGCCATGCGCGCTGCTGCCGCTGCTGCACACTGGCCGGCCGCCACCCACCTGCGCAGGGGAGCGAGCGCCGGCCAGGCCGCGCGGCGCCATGCCCTGTACCGCACCGAGGAGCGCGGCTGGCCCCGCTCGCTGGTCTACCGCGTCTTCTTCAAGAATGTAGCTGGTCACTACATTTCCCCCTTTCATGATATCCCTCTGAAGGTGGATTCTAAAGAGGAGAATGGCATTCCTACAAAGAAAGCACGAAATGATGAATATGAGAATTTGTTTAATATGGTTGTAGAAGTACCTCGGTGGACAAATGCTAAAATGGAGATTGCCACTGAGGAACCATTGAATCCTATTAAACAAGATGTAAAGAATGGCAAGCTACGCTATGCGGCGAATATCTTTCTTCACAAGGGTTATATATGGAATTATGGTGCCCTCCCTCAGACTTGGGAAGATCCCCATCAAAAAGATAAGAGCACAAACTGCTGTGGAGATAATGATCCTATTGATGTTTGTGAAATAGGCTCAAAGGTTCTTTCTCGTGGAGAGGTTATTCATGTGAAGATACTTGGAATTTTGGGTCTCATTGATGAAGGTGAAACAGATTGGAAATTGATTGCTATCAATGTGAATGATCCTGAAGCTTCAAAATTTCATGATATTGGTGATGTTAAGAAGTTCAAACCAGGCTACCTGGAAGCTACCCTTAATTGGTTCAGAGTTTATAAAGTGCCGAAGGAAAACCAGAAAACCAGTTTGCCTTTAATGGAGAATTCAAAAAACAGGCTTTTGCTCTTGAAGTTATTAAATCTACTCATGAATGTTGGAAAGCATTGCTGATGAAGAAGTGTAATGGAGGGGCTATAAATTGCACAAACGTTCAGGTGTGTGATAGCCCTTTCCATTGCACTCAAGATGAAGCAAGATCCTTAGTTGAATCGGTATCATTTTCACTGAATAAAGAAAGTGATGAAGAAGATGCAGAGCAAGCGTGGTACTTCCTTGGCAAGTGATTGGAACATTTGAAATTCTGCCATCAAGACTCCAACTCCAAGGACTCCAAGACTTCCTTTCCCCTTAGTGCTAGAGATAGCAGGTCTAAGCATTTGCTGATTTCCTGTTGAAAACTTATTTTTTTCAAATTTTTGAAGATATGCAATATATAATAAATACTAAAATGTTTGAAAAAAAAAAGAAAGAAAAGAATCTATAAATACTGAACTCTAGTTTGTGATAAGTATGCTGAAGTATTTAAGCAGAAAGCATACTGATGCCTGCAATCAAAATGCATCCAAAAACTAAGATTAATGCATAGAGAGAAGAATAATGAATAGATACATGCTAAAATAAAACTTTAGTGATAATATCTAGGTGGTACATATATGAGTATACTATAAAATTCTTTGAACTTTGCCATATGCTTGAAATGTTCTAATAATATCCTAAGGAAAAAAAAATCTATGAGATTGGCAGGGCACGGTGGCTCACGCCTGTAATCCTAGCTCTCTGGGAGGCCAAGGTGGGCGGATCGTTTGAGCTCAGGAGTTCGAAACCAACCTGACCAAGAGCGAGACCCGTCTCTACTATAAATAGAAAGAAATTAATTGGTCAACTAATATATATATAGAAAAAAATTAGCCGGGCATGGTGGCACATGCCTGTAGTCCCAGCTACTCGGGAGTCTGAGGCAGCAGGATTGCTTGAGCCCAGGAGTTTGAGGTTGCTGTGAGCTAGGCTGACGCCATGGCACTCACTCTAGCCTGGGCAACAAAGTGAGACTGTCTCAAAAAAAAAAAAAAAAAAAAATCTATGAGATAAATTTGAAGCAGTGATTAGAGGAAAATTTATAACCCTAAACACTTACATCAACAGAAATTAAGTATAAATATAAAATAAATCAAATTCCTAGCTCAAAAGACTAGAAAAAGAATAACAAACTAAACCAAAGGAAAGCACAAAACAGGAAATAATAAGATTAAAAGCAATAATAAGATAAATAGAAAAATAGATTTAATTAACAAATCAAAATCAATTTTTTAAAAAAAATTAAGAAAATAGTTAACTCACTAGCTAACTTAAATGAGAGAAAGCATAAATATACAACATAATAAATGACAAGAGGAAAATAAGCATTAAAACAGGAGAGAAGCAAATTTTAAATCATTAGAGGCTACTAAATAAATTTTTAAATGTATAGTAGAAAAATAGAGTTTACCAAAATTAAACCTGTAAGAAATAGCAAGTTTAAACTAACCCATTTCTCTTGAAGAAATAAAGTTACCAATGACCTACTTGACAAAAAACAAAACACCAAGCCAGGATAGTTTCACAAGTGTACCAAAACTTCAAAGACTAGATACTCCTCAGGATACACAGAGTGTTCCAGAGCGTTGAAAATATAGGAAAACTTTCCAACCCTGTTTGTGAAACAAGGATAATACTGATACCTAAATTTAATAAAGATAGTACAAAAAAGTAAAATAACAGACTAATATCACATATGACTATGTAAAAGTACTAAATTTTAAAATTAGTGGACAGAATCCCATGCCACATTAAGAAAATACACTAAGATCAAGTGAGATTTATTCCAGAAATGCAATATTTGTTCTTCAATAGATCTAAGGGTAAAAAATCATACAATTATATTCACAGACAATGAAAAAGCCTTGGACAAAATTCAATATCCAGTCCTGGAAAAAACAAAACCAAAAAAACACCAAGATGGACCCCTCTTAATACAACAAAATATATACACTTTGGTCCTACAGCCAGCATTATTTATTAATGGGCAAACATTAGAGGCATTTTCAATAAAATCATATAGAAGACAAGGATGTATATCAATGTTATACTAGAGGTAAAAGCCAATGCAATTAGATAAGAGAAATCAAATGGAAGGATAAGAATTAGTAAAGAAGGAAAACTATTTCTATAAGCAGATAATATGATAAACCCTAAAGAATCACTGATAAAACTAATTCAAACAATAAAAATAATTGAATAATGTAAGAAGACAAAAAATTAACATTTGGTTCTATAGGTTTCACATACAGAAACAGTAACTAGTTAGATACTATAATGATGGAGAAAACCCCACTTATAACAGCATTAAGAAGCTGAAATACTTTGGAATAAACTTAGCAAGAAATGAGCAAAACTTTATATGAGGAAAACTTTAAAACACTCCTGAATCACCAAAACACTGGACTAAAAAAAAAAAAAAATGATTAATCATCCTTTTGCTCTTAAATAGAACTCAACATGATAAAGGTATTCTCTTTAATTTACAAATTTGATTTAAATCCCAATAAAAACACCAAAAAGCTTTTTTAATCAACCTAGACAAAGTAATACTAAAGTTTTTATGAAAAAATAAACAGTCCATATGTAAAGAATAGCTAGTCAAACATTGGGGGGGAAGCTGAAAGGAAAAGGGGGAGACTACTCCTGCTCAACATTAAAAATACTATGAAGTCTCTGTAATTGTGGGTATGGTACTAATACATAAATGGACAAGCAGGTCAGTAGAAGAAATATAAAGTGAAGAAAAAGATCCAATGATAAAAGAAATGAAAATTAAAACAACACTAAAATACCATTTCTCATCCATGAAATTGGCAAACATTTCAAAATACGACAACACCTTCTGTTGGCAATGCTATGAGGAAACAGGACTCTCATAAATTACTAACAGGAATTTGGCAATTTCTAACAAAGCTACAAACATATGTACCTTTCGATCCAGCAATCTTACTTTTAGGAGTTTCCTCTGAAAGTACACTTCCAACAGTAAAACATACTCACACATGAGGTTATTCATGACAGCTCTTCAGTAATTGCAAAATATTGGCTTTATCTTTAATGTCCATACCTAGGAGAGTGGCTAAACAAACTGATACATCCACATAATGGAGTACTAAGCAGCTATTAAAAAAGATCTCTATAAATTGAGATGGAGTAGTTTCCAAGATATATTTATAAACAAAGAAAGCAAAGTACAAAAGAATATCTAGAGTATGCTATAGATATAACTACTCCTCTGTTTTAAAAGAAACACAGGAAGGTCAAACCACTAATAATTCTGGTTACCTAAAAGGGTGGGTAGACACAGGATAGAAGTGAGAAGGGGAGTGATACTTCCCTGAGTACACCTTTTAGTATAGTAGTATCTTATAGAACCACATGAATGTTTCACATACTATTTTATTCATATACTATTTATTTTAAATAGAAAGAGAAAGAAAAAGAAAATCAAAAAGTATAGGACGATAAAAAACTTGAAGTATAAAAAGAAACAAACCTAATGTACCTAACTCTTTCAAAATGAAGAAACTAAACTAACTATACTGAAAGGACCGGTGGGGCTTGGGGTGCAGACCTAGGTGCTCTCAGGATAAAGATAAAAAGAACCATAAAAAAATACCAAATTCTAAATTGTAAGTTTGTTTTTCACAGAGGTATGTATTAACAATTCTGATTGCTAATGCATACTTTCTACATATTCTATAATTAAGCAAATAAGTAAATATACTGTGAATAACAGGTTTCTCACTGTTAGAGAAGAAAGTGATAAGATACATGTCACAATTTGAATACTTCAAGAAGAACATTAAAAAATATATTATAAAGCATAATCACTCAATTGAATCTATAACTTATCCATGGAAGTTGCTATAAACTTCAAACACTTGACTTTCCACCTTCTGCTATCCCCCAGAACACGCTCCAACTATAAACTATTATTTATACATCTAACAAGAAAGTTTACTGAAAATATCTGACTTTTCAAGACAGAAATCACTCTTTCCTACTGAAAGCACAGAGATCATTAACACACCTTCAGATTTAAAATCATATAGTACTTTTTCTTTGAAAAACTACTTTCATCTTCTCTATCTAAATTAACACCTTGATTAAACTGTTCAAGAAATGAGTCAACTTTCCTGTTAAATCAAGATTAACCTAGAAAGCTTTTTAGTTTAACCACTTTGAAGAATTAAGTTATAAAATATATTTTCCAAAATGATATAATATATAGCACATGAATAATGTAATTCTTCAAAATTCAAAACTTTTCAGTGTCTCCAGATTATTTGTTATTAAAGTTAAATGCAGGAGGTTGAGAAGTTGCTGTTTTGAATAAACCTCTAAACTTGTTTCTTCATATACAAAAGATGTTACCCTACATGACAGCCTGACAGAGTTACAAAGCTCAATTACAAAATGCATGTGTGCTGGATTATCTATTATTGATTAGATATCACTGCCTTTCCTTTTAAGGTTTTTCTTGCATGACAAAGAAAAAGAAAGTAACTACATTTCCAGATTCCCCTCTGGAAGAAGTTGTAGGTAGACACTTGGGCAGAGAAGCAGCTTCCAAGTGAGTAGTTTCTTCAGAACTACCCACTTTGGTGCTACCAACTTAAAGACTTCTTAAGATTTTCACTGACTTCTGAGAAAACAACTTCCATGCTTCAGGCTGAAATAATCAATGACAGCTTCCCTAACCTTCACTCCCTGAGCCTTTCCAAAAGTTAGTATAAGTCTTTAATTCCCTGTTAAAACCCTCATACTTTGTTTTTCAAAACCAAACCCTGATTGACTGATACATGTCAAAATATAAACTGGAAAAGAAATTATAAAAGCATAATATTAATATTTCTATTCCCACTGATAGGAAATTTTAATTGAAATTACTTTCTGGTAATCAGCATCTTTTTAGACAAATTAATACATCCAAAATAAAGCTTTCCTTCTACAAATCAATAAAATAAAACTTTTCCTTATTACAAAAATCAGCTCTCTATCTAACTTCATTTCTACAAGTAATGATTCACTGAATCAATATACATTTAATGAGCAAGGCATTATGGTAGTTACCAAGAGACTCCCATACAAAAGTTTACAATATATGAGAATAACAAAAATAAAATATTCATAATATAACTGTTACAAATCAGGAACCACATGCAATGCATCAGCAAAAGGATGGATTAAATTTGACTTGGGGAAGAAAAAGTAAAAATCAGAAATG